ATGTAACCGGAAGATTAAATATGGCTTTTCCTCTTTGTCCAATCAACTGTGCTAAAAGTTTTATTATATTTAGGTGATAATGTCAATTTAGCCGTCTGTACTTAATAAGTTGTTAAACCTTATTACTGATAAAATGTCCAGGTGATGATTGTTGTTATAAATTCTATGTTGCTATGTTACCTTATTTTGTATTGAAACCTGATTGGTCATTTTGTTATTTAAGACACAAAAATGTTAAAATTTTATTGGTCAGTTTAAAACGAAACCATTTTTAGAAATATTGTAAAGATAGAGAAATCGAACAGTTAGATTTTGGATTTCCAAGTGATAACGTTGTGGCTCTCCACTAGAAATATTTGTTACTGTTTTTTAATATCTATTTGTAAACATAAGGATAACCTGTGTATATGTTATATATTATTTGTGGTATTCCACTAAGAAAGATTAACATTAAAATATATAAAACGGAACATTGTGTTGAGATTCAATCCACCTTCAGTAGAACTACAAAATCAGCGCATAATACTTGCAACAAATACCTTTAAGGAACTCCACAAAGGCCGGAAATCATAGAAACATATAATTTAGATTTCGTTCATAGATCAACTGGGCCACTTAAAACAGAGAAAGATACACAAATATTCCTGAGAAATATACTTAGAAATAAGTAAAAAAATCTTCATTTAGCCCGATTTGAGTGAAAAGCGTTGCAACGATTTTCAATTTTGTGTCATTTACACAACAATAATGATTATTCTGGAAAACACGGAGGAGTTAGTAAACGATATGAAAGTTTGCACACCATATATCGGCCTAGACCCATACAAATAAATCATTACATTTATCTATAAAAATCAGTCCCGTCATGTCAAAATATCTAAGTGGAGTCCCTTTAAATTTTGATTATATATAGAAATATAGAAATATAATATAAACACACATTATTGTGTCTATGCCAAACATACATGTGTATCATAAAATGATTTTTTTTAATCTACCATTCCTGCATTGTTTGTTTTTTTTTCTTATTTTTATTGTGTGTTTTTTTTTGGTTTTTTTTTTTTAGTTGATAAAATTGTAAATACAATTCAAAATGTATAGTTAAAATATAATGGAGCTTTTGAAATAATTAAGTATATAGCGATTGATTTCTACCAAAATAAGTTTTTATAAATATTTAATAGCAAATAATGGTCCAAGGAACTGAAAACAGATATTAGGGGGAAAAACGCCAAATACGCATTATCGAATGTCCCCTTCTGTTAATAATAGCCAATAACTGTCACAATTTTTTAATATTTTAAGATTTTAAAAATGTCCAACGTTAGAAAGTTGAGAAAACACTCTCAACACATAACATTTTGCATAGAATAACATATGTAATTATTACAAGAATCTTCTCATTTGTAACATATTTTATTTCGGCGCATTCCAGAAAAAGTTCCTGCATGGATTATAGTAATCGCTATCACTGTTTATAAAGGATCTTGAATAGCCATTGTGCCTGTGAGTTTAGCCAACTCGCCTGTGAAGGTTCACATCTTGAGACTGAATAATTTCTCGCCATTTATTTCAAATAATCAACATCTTTTACGAGATGCCCTCTGTTATGATATGACGCAGCAGCAACTATTTTTCTTTTGAGTCTGAAATTAATATTTAGCAGGTTACAATATTACTAGGGTTTAAGTACGAGTACCACTCAATTCGGTGCAAGGGGGCGTCAGGAACGTTACACTTTTAATTGTCTCTCACTTACAGAGTCTGCAATTTTCATGTATTTTGGTCCAAAGGATAACCCTAATTGCTTAAGTCTTGAGAGGATGGTTGTGACTTTAACCTGTCTCTTATGAAATGGCCAGACTCAATAGTACGGTGCTACGTTTGGACAATCGTGATTTTCTATTTAGTCTGTACCCGCGATGCACGATGGTACGATTACGAAAACGCGATGACACGATGGTACGATGGTGAAAACACGATGGTACCATGATGAAAACGCGATGGTACGATGGTGAAATCGCGATCGACAGCACGATTGTGTAAACGCGATGTGACATCGCGTTTTCACCATCGTCCTATCGCGGTTAAACCATCGCCTTATTGCGTTTTCACCATCGTACCATCGCGTTTTCACCATCGCGTTTTCACCATCGTACCATCGCGCTTTCACCATCGTGCCATCGCGTTTTCATCATCGTGCCATCGCGTTTTCACCATCGTACCATCGCGTTTTCACCATCGTACCATCGTGTTTTCATCATTATGCCATCGCGTTTTCACCATCATACCATCGCCCCTTTCGGTCAGTATGACCAGTGCAGAAAGATTCTAATACGGCAGGTATAGTAAAAAGAAGTTGAGAATACTTACAAATTAATTTGAGTTATAAATAATAAAACTTTTATCTTTACATTTCCATTAATGTCATTATACTGTATAGAAATCAAATATATATATATGCTAATATACATGTACGCTTAATACATGTTTGATTTTTAGCTCGACTATTCGATAAGAATAAGTAGAGCTATAGTAGTCACCCGAGCGTCGGCGTCCGCGTCGGCGTCGGCGTAACCACTTATGTTATAGTTTTTGTAATAGTTTGAATATTTTAAAAGTCCATTGACATATGGCTTTGAAACTTTGCACACTTGTTCACCATCATGACCCCAACCTGTAGACAGGAGGAGGTAACTGTATCAAGCATTTTGACAGAACTATGCCTCTTTTTCGACTTAGAATTTACGCTAAAGTTTTTGTAATAGTTCAAATATTTTCAAAGTCCATTGACATATGGATTTGAAACTTTGCACACTTGTTCACCATCATGACTCCGACCTGTAGACAGGAGGAGGTAACTGTATCAAGCATTTTGACAGAATTATGCCCCTTTTTCGACTTAGAATTTACGTTAAAGTTTTTTGTAATAGTTCAAATATTTTCAAAGTCCATTGACATATGGCTTTGAAACTTTGCACACTTGTTCACCATCATGACCCCAACCTGTAGACAGGAGGAGGTAACTGTATCGAGCATTTTGACAGAATTATACCCCTTTTTCGACTTAGAACTACGTTAAAGTTTTTGTAATAGTTCAAATATTTTCAAAGTCCATTGACATATGGCTTTGAAACTTTGCACACTTGTTCACCATCATTACCCCAACCTGTAAACAGGAGGAGGTAACTGTATCAAGCATTTTTTTTACTATCAAGCACTAAGAATAGTCGAGCGTTGCTGTCCTACCGACAGCTCTTGTTTTTCTTTTACTGTATTTAAGATATCAACTTGAAACTTTTTATGCACAGTGCACAAGGATGACAACTTTAATTTTTTTAATTTTTGAGCGATTGCCTTTTGTTATTTTTCATGTTTTTACGCAAATAAAAAGAGTGCTGTGTTAAATAAGAGAAGATAAAAATGTACCATTGCGCATGACTACCGAAGACGATGGCGTGATGGTACGATGATTAAAACGCGATGGCACGACGGTGAAAACGCGATGGTACGATGGTAAAAACGCGATGGCACGATTGTGAAAGCGTGATGGTATGATGGTGAAAACGCGATGGACGATGGTGAAAACGCGATAAAACACCGCGTTTTCACTATCGTACCATTGCGACTTCATCATAGTACCATCGTGTTTTCACCATCGTACCTTCGCGATTTCATCATAGTACCACCGTGTTTTCACCATCGTACCATCGTGCTTTTTCATCATCGTGTCATCGTACCATCGCGATTTCACCATCGTACCATCGTGTATTGTGGGTAGGGACGAAATAAATTTACACTATTGAATTTGTCCAAACGGCACACAATCGTGTTTACAATGCATTTTTCCATTGTTTCCATTTTAGAATGATGACTAGCAGCTGCATTTTTATAAATCACTCTTGTCAAACTAAATTTTAGATAACAGTGTTGGGTTAGTTTACCTGTTGAAAGCGAATACAAGCCCTGAAATTCTCGCTATTTTCCTCTTCTTTAGGTCCTTTCTGAAATCTTGCTATCTGATCTCTCTACAAAATACCAGTTACAGAGATGATCATCAGAATATTATTAACAAATCTTTAAGCATTACAAGTGGTTAGCAGGGAGACTCCTTGTTTCATAGTTGTGGCTGTAAAAAGCACCAACAAACAACTCGTTATGGCTTTCATATATAGTTTCACTCTGGCGCTCGATATACATTGTATACGGCACTCCGATAGCACGATGCCAGACGCAAAATTACATATAAAAATAGGATAAATTATATAACCAATCATGGATCGCATGATATGACATATAAATCACAAGGTTAGCTTTTAAAAAAGCTAGTAGCGACTCGCTTCGTAATTATTTTCCAGGGGTGCGTTTAAATGTAAAAATGACAGTTCTGTTAGCTGAAGAGACTTCAGCGAACATCAAAATAAAAGTGACATAAAGTAATGGAAGCCATGTCTCTCAATTTAACAAAGAGGAATATGAGTATATATGAAGATGCATGTAAACAGATAGGATGAAGTCCCAATGTCTATGCACATTTACTGTATGGCCTGTTGACCTTGACCAAATAAATGTTAGATAGGTAGAATTCATAAAGATGTCTCTTTATACGAAGTTTAGTTGTATTCTGTTATTTAGTATTGGAATGAGTGACAGACACAAGTCATAAAGAAAACGCAAGTTGTCAATCAATTCATCCAGAAAAGCCGGGATCCTATTAAAAATATAGGGATCCCGGAAATTTACCAGTCTAAAATGTTTTTCAGATAAGCCGGGATCCTATTAAAATATATAGGTATCCCGGGAATTGACCAGTTCAAGAATCTAGTTTTCAGAAAAGCCGGGATCGTAATAAATTATAAAGAGATCCCAGGAATTGGCCAGTTCAAGAATATAGTTTTCAGAAAAGCTGGGATCGCATTAAAACATAAAGGGATCCCGACATTTGACCAATTCAACAATGTAGTCTTTGATTTTTCCAATTAATTAGGCATATAATAATAAGTATTGTGATTTCCGCATTTTAAGTTTGTTAATAAATAGCTCTAAATATATTTATATACTAAGTTTAATTAATTTAACGTTCATTTCATACAATAAAAGAAACTTAACGTTTAATGGCCTTTCATTACGACAATAATCAACACAAATATAGTTTATTAGTTTTTCCTCTATATCTTCTACGACCCGGATCCCGGCCAGTCCGGGTGTACCGGATCCCGGCCAGGAAATATATACACTAAATACCGGAAAGATTAAAATGACCGGAAAAAAGGAAAAAGAAAAAAATGCACAGAACCAGACGTATACTTATGTTAATTAACCAAACGAAAACTTATTACAGAGGAACAGGTGAGATCGCTAAATCAAACGTCAGTGTAGATATGATTTATGAAAAGAATTCATGAAAAAAAAAACAACATTTTAATCATCATTATATCTTTGCGCTCAAAATAATACTTGCTGCTTTTTAAAAATGGCGTGAAAATTGAAGGTTTTTTGACGCTATGTAAGATTAAATTTGATTGGCTAAATAATTTTGGATCCTAGCCCAGATAGATAAATTTTGTAGAAAGCTGGAAGCCAAGCTTCGATTAAATTTTTGGATGGATTCGGAGTTTTAGGTTGTTTCTCAGTAAAATCCTAACGTAATACCGGCTCGCCGTGGCGAGCCGGCAAAATATGTAAGTATCTCAACTTAATTATAAGTTATCATTTAAAAGAAAACACAAGAGAAATTTTGATCTTGATATCATATTATTAGGTAATTCGAGATCACATGTTTCACATTCATATTAAATGATTATATTATTCAATACAAATAGAAATTGTTTCATCATGAAACTCAATCAAAATGTCTTTGTCTATCCACATGACAATCCATTAATCATTACAGAAGTAATATTCATAATCCAGCAACTCTTCAAATATAACTTCTACAAAATACAATATTGTACAATAAAATATACAAAAAACACACAATAAGGGCGGGCGTGGAGGGTAAAATAGAATTTTCAACATGTGATCTTCTTGTCAAACGAATACAGAATGATCCAAAAAGGCAGAAGCGCAAGCGACAAAAAAAGTTTACCGCCAAAAATATAGGCGACCAATAGAAAGTTGTTTACTGCCTACGTAATGCATAAATTAAAATCCACCAATGAAAAAGAGTTTTTAAAAAAGGTCAAATTCATTCAACCTTATAATTAAGTTATTTTAGTTCAAAATAAACAAAATTATAAGTTATCATTTAAAAGAAAACACAAGAGAAATTTTGATCTTGATATCATATTATTAGGTAATTCGAGATCACATGTTTCACATTCATATTAAATGATTATATTATTCAATACAAATAGAAATTGTTTCATCATGAAACTCAATCAAAATGTCTTTGTCTATCCACATGACAATCCATTAATCATTACAGAAGTAATATTCATAATCCAGCCACACCCATGGCCATGAAAAAAACAAACAAAAAACATTACAAAATACAAAACATCAGCAAATAAAGTTCAGATACATACAAATCTACTAAGAGGCTTTCATACCACCTCCTTAGTAGCATAATCTCCAAGACTGGTCATTACCAGCTTACGAGACTGAGCCTTTCTTGAGAAACAGTGTGTCTCAAGCAAAGGCATAACGTACATATATCAACTAATGCATTTATTTGAATATAAACATTAAATTCAATATCCTGAAACACTCTACAACAAGTGTATACACAATAACAAAAACCACTAAGAGGCATTCTTTTAACCTCCTTAGTAGAAAGTAATCTTCAATACTTAGCATTGCCAGTCTGTAAGATTTAATCTTTCTTGAGTAACCAAGTGCCTCAAGCAAAGACATAATGACATTAGAACATGACACTATCTTACGAATGTATATTCTAAAGATTATAATAATTACGAATTACATATTTTACTTTAACAAGCTGTCTAGAAATACAAATATTGAAACTTGCAGTAAACATGTAGCGCTCATCCAACACTAAGATGTAATTACTTTAAGTGAGCAATGGTATTAATGAAAAATTCTTTCAAACGCCTTGTACCTTCTAGATTAAAGATGTAAACCACCGTCTTTTATAGCATAATACTCACGACGGGCAAGCCACATTTAAGAAAGGGTTTTGAAAGTTCTAATGAAAATAACATTTCTTGATTTGCATAGTAGAACCAATTTATTGTTTAAATTTTTAACCCTATTACCAGTAGTATCAAAATCTATAGGGCGTGGAATAATTGCAGATACAATAATGCTTCCAGAAGATTGTTGACGAACATTGGAAAATCAAATCGTTAAAAGATGAGATAATCTCATCTTCTGAACGAGGGCCAGTTACATCATTGGTACCAACATGTAATATGACATAAGCAGATCTAAGATCAACTTGACCTTGTGAAATACGAAAACTTAACCTTGAAATATTAATTCCAGGAAAGGCTGTTATTTGAGTATCCCAAATACCTGACACATTTTTGGCAATGGAGTCTGAGACAATTGTACACTTTCGAAGTGGTGGATGAGCTACATGTTCTGAAAACATACAAAGAACAGTTTATTAATGACTATATTTAAATCAAACATAAAAAACATGAGAAATATCCTTCATAATTTTACACTTATCTTCAATGGATAGTGAAATATAACGTTTAGAAAACGTCAGAATGCCAATCTCCAAGAATTTGAATTTCATCTGAACTAATATTATTCTTAAAGGCAAGGGTAGCAAACCACGCCTAAATGAATGAGAGGAATATAATGATGAGTCAACCCCAAGATCATTTAAAACCTGACGCAATTTATTTTGAAATAAATAATAAGTTACCGGTTTACCATTAGGTAAAAGAAATAAAGCATCTGCAGATTTCCCAGGAATGACCTTTAACATGTTATCATATGCAGTAACCGGACACAAACAAGAGCCTGGTAACTTTAATAGAGGAGTCTGTAAAAGACGTTCTCCAAACTGAATTGTTTTGGTCCAATTCATAGTAACTATTAAGTCACCATGAACACGAGTAACATCAGACCTAATCAAACATTTATGATTAATTAAATCTTTAAGTGTAGTTGGAACTAAATTTGACTTTCGTGCCAACAGAAAAAATGCAAATAAAAATAAACACCAAAAAACTAAGTTTTCTGGATCTTTAAAATTCAACGTCAAGTAAATCTTAGAAAGAATAAAAGGAGTTATAGGTTGAGCTTGTTTTACACAATGACATTTCAATCGGGAAATTCCACGAAGAGTGAAATTTATCAAAAAAGTATTCATTTCATTCAAATTATAAAATAGAATTTTCAACATGTGATCTTCTTGTCAAACGAATACAGAATGATCCAAAAAGGCAGAAGCGCAAGCGACAAAAAAGTTTACCGCCAAAAATATAGGCGACCAATAGAAAGTTGTTTACTGCCTACGTAATGCATAAATTAAAATCCACCAATGAAAAAGAGTTTTTAAAAAGGTCAAATTCATTCAACCTTATAATTAAGTTATTTTAGTTCAAAATAAACAAATAAATAGGATGAAAGGTAAAGGAATTACTCCATTAGCAACAGGAAAGAGTTTATAAAAAAAATATTCTTACTAATATAAGTTAAAGTAAACATTTTCTTTCTTCCGACGATTTTAAGGTACAGAACTGTACATTTACCAAACCTTACTCGAGGTAGATGCATATTTGTGTCAAAACACAAGCCTTTCAAAAGCAGTGCCTAATCTGAGTTAGTCAAATTTGTATTTGTATCATTTGTATATTGTAAAATGATAAAAAATGTTTACAAAGATGTTCGTCTTTCACTTAAACATGAACATGTTTTCTGATGTCAGTGAGAATTTCAGACGCTTATTTCCAAATGAGATATCCCCGTACTGCCACTTTCCGATCAGCTAACAGATTTTTCTATAATAACTGACAGTGAAATTATAAAAATAAAATTTCTCTTACAATTCTGCAAATATTATCATTTCAGCTAATAAATGCAACAACTTTTTAAAATTTTACCTGAATTATTATTATGAATCGAGGACATATCATTACTGACCCATTTTCCTGTTCTTCAAAATTTCACAACCACTTTTCAATCAGTTAACAAAATATAAACTGTACCACATAAAAATTGTCATACAATGTTAAAATATAACCAGTTATGTATTTTGAAGAAATTTTGACAAACTCAACTTCAGATAAATGGTAATAAACAATTTTAACCTATTTATAATGACATTTTTCAATCTTGATATCTTTTTGCAGTATTAAAGCTGTCACAATTGGGGTATGGATGTACATCTCAATGTGCATAACAGAAAAGCATGTTCTTGTGAAATTTTTAGGATCTTAGGGTCTATATGACCCCATTCTAGTGACAGCTTTCTGAAAAGTTATCGGAGAGAATGTTTTTCCTTGGTTAAGTGACTGTTAGTTTACTGACGCATTACCTTCCAATTAAGAATTGTATGGTAAAATGTGTACAAATCAAAATTATAGCTTTTGAAGTGCAGTATACATTATAACTTAATTATATTGAAACAGTTGTCTAACTTAATATCCATTTTTGCAGACTGACAAAAAACTGAGTCTGTAGATCAATTATTTTTAGAAAATTATTGCGATTTGTAACTGGGTAAATAAAGGAATAGTGGAAAACACAAATTTTACATATTTTGAACTAAAATACTGTTATTTTCTTTTTTAACGCCATAATTGACATTGCTGCTGATAAATGTAGTCAAGGTAAATACAAGATGTGCTTACAGTTTGGTTACATGACAAATAAGGTCAAAAATAAAGAATTTCCAGGGATGATTGAAAAGTGGTTGTGATTGAAAACTGGCAGTATGTGGATAGAAAATTCAGAAAATTTTAACTTCCAAATTTTTACATAAAAGATAAAGTGAGTTTGAAAAAAAACATGTGGGTATAGTTGCCGGACATTTGCATCGTTTAATCGTGCATGCAGTCATTATGTACAGCGCTATCGTGCTTTCGTCAGCATGGTAGGTTCGTATAGCGTTCTCTCGGATTCCATGGCCTAACGGGTCACCGTATGTGTAAGATAAAACAAGTTTAAAGGCCCATTATACCCTAGAAAATATTTTATGTTTATGACACCAAAGCTTTTTAGTTATGGAGTTCTTTTCTAGTTTCAAAAAATAATTGGCTATCTACCTGAATCATATTTTCTTCTGTTGTGTATTGGCATAAAGTACAGTTACGGTGATTAAGTATTTTGTATGGAAGTCAAAATACTACATGTATCAATTATACTACATATTATATATTGGACATTTTAATGACAAATAATTTCACATTAGGCGCTTTTTTCCTCGGGTAACAAGTATATAATATACTCTAAATCTACTCTATCTAAACGATACAAAGTCATGTTTCTACAGAAGAAAATTAAAAACAACAATGATTCGTTTCTGAGGAATACTGTGCCTTTAATAAATTCACCACATTACTGATTAGAATACATATAATATAAAATGCATTCACAAAAAAGAAGGAATAATACAGGGAAATTTACTAACTGGATAATCAACAAATGTGAAGAAATTATTTACTCACAATCTCTATCTTATCTTTATCAAGATCTTTCTGGCTTTTCCCCCTGTTTTCCTCCTTTTTCTGCATTCTGTAAGTAAAATATTAGTTTGTCATAATCCTAACGTAATCCGATAATACATGGATAACATTAAAGTATAAAACAAATCTGTTCGCAACTCTATGAAAATGAACTCCAAATAAAATGTCCATATACAGATGTACAAGACAAATAACGTAGCAAGAAAAAAACATTTTCGACAAACAACACTTTTCTAAGCTTTAAACATCTTATTTTGAATACATGTAATGGTATTTTCATTAAAGTCTTATTCGTGTTAGAATTCGTCATTATCGTTGTCGTAGCTGTACTTGTACTAGTCGGCGGTAAAGTCATGAATGTAGTATAGTTGTCGTAATTGTTGCTGTTCTCGAAGTCCTAGAAGTACAAGTATTTGTTGTCGACATCGTAGCTGTACCCGTTATCATAAAAATCGTATTCGTGGTGTAAGTCTTCGTATTCGTACATTAGTACTTGTAGTCGTAAATGTTGTTATCGTTGTCGATGTAGTAAAAGTCGTAGTTATTTCCGTTGTCGATCACAATCTCATTGGAAATCGTTTAAATACTTCAGAAAACTATATACATTGTATATTTATGACTTTTGTCTCCAATAAAGGGTGGATTCTGTCTTATACATCCGTTATAAAGATTTTTGACAGGTTATTTATGGCTCTATATAAACGGTAGTTTGCAATATATAACCCGAGTCGCTAGGGGAGGATTATATTGCTTACCGTTTTTATGTTTTGTCCATATAGCTAGAGAAAGTCACATATGTCAAACTTGTATGGATAAAGTGATACACAACTCTAGTATTTGAATAAAAATAGGGCATTTATTAAATGCCATAAAATACATAGCAAGTAAAAACGTTTTCACAAGTGTAAAACCGCCCTCAATACAAACAGAAAAAAAATGACAATATACAAAGACAATAAAATTTGAACAAATCCTCCTATGTTGATTAAACAAAAATCTTGTAAAGTATCGGTTTCATAGTTAACATTTAATATTGTAACATATAACATTTGAACAAGGCGAAAAATTAAAAACAGTTCTACACTGTAACGATAACTTGAAAATTGAATAAATTAAAATGAAACTTGACAATATCTTTAGAGGAGGAGGCATTGGGAGGAGGTGATTTTCCAAAATTATTAGAAATTTTTTGCGAGCGTTTCACGCACGCCAAGTAAACAAAGACTAATGGCTTGGTTAATTTTGATTGGTTAATCAGACCATGTGATAAAACTTGGTTTGTTGATTGGCTAAATTTCTACAAAAGTCTGTGTCTTAAGCCGTACTAAATTCTGTAAAGCAATATAAAAGAATGCACAAAAGCATTAAAAAAAACTTTATGTCACCATAAACTTCTATATATAGAGAAAGTCACATAGGTCAATCTTGTATGGATGAAGTGAAAACACAACTCATAGTATTTGAATGAAAATATGGCATTTATTAAATGCCTTAAAATACATAGCAAGTAAAAACGTTTTCACAAGAACATAACTGGGTGGAAAAACCGCCCCAAAATTATTAGAAATTTTTTGCGAGCGTTTCACGCAAGCCAAGTAAACAAAGACTAATGGCTTGGTTAATTTTGATTGGTTAATCATACCACGTGATAAAACTTGGTTTGTTGATTGGCTAAATCCGTTTAGTGACATTTTCTTCATACGCATTGCATGTTTTGAACACACCAGAACCCACGACGGAAACATATCTCGATGAAGACTCATAGAAATCCAAAACAAAAATGGATAATATATAGAGGAGAGTCAGGAGGGTAGTCACATTTCGATTTTCTTTAAAAAAAGATTGAATTTTATATAACTGTTTCAAAAGTTGAAAACTTATCCTGCGATTGACCTAATTTTACAGTCACATCTGGTGTTATGCATCACATCTGAAGCAGTGGAAATTCACAAAAACTTATTACCGGTGCTCATTTTTGACATACATATGGGGTTCCACCCCCGTGATTGCTGTCAATTTATGAAGAAATGCTAAAGAGAGCCTGGCGGTTCGGTTCATATTTCCAAACAAACGTTTATGTAGGGTCATATAACCTGTCAAAAGTCGTTATAACTAAATTCAACGTATACAGCTCACGCGTAAGCTATATACACGTCGTAAGCTGTAAACCGCGCAACATAACTGGATAACTTCCTCGTCCGAAAAATTAAAGTTACAAATCATGTGAATGTTTACGGCTAAAAGAATCCACGAATAATTTAATAGAAATATAATAACATGAAACAAAACCTTAGTAATTATTGTTGTCTGCCTTTAAATATTGTAAAAGCAAAATCGTACCTCTGTATTCAACCTCCACTTCCTTGTTTGTAAAAATTACATATCAGTAACAAATAGTGACATCATTTCTTTATCTGAAACAAACAATGTGTTTAATATCATGATGTTATCAAGATAAAATAAATTGGTCTTTCATTAATTATATATATATATATATATATAATATATATATATATATATATATTATATATATATATATATATATATATATATATATATATATATATATATATATATAAAATTATAATATTTAAGAAATAACAAACTCTATGTAAATTCGGTAGCGCTTTCAATGCTTTCTTCGCATATCTTCAGCCGAACTTTAATGTTTCGGCTGAAGATATGCGAAGAAAGCATTGAAAGAGTTTGTTATTTCTTAAATATTATAATTTTATCTATTTCAACACTGCACAAGGAACATTTATCACGTTTTAATATATATATATATATCTTTAACACAACAAGTTTGCTTCTTTAAAAAGAAGCATGCGAGAGGTCTTTTTGCTGCTGTGGAAGATTTGTTTAATTTGAAAATATTTGGAAATAAGACACAACGAATGGTTATAAATTACAATTATTTAACAAAATATAATTTATTATATAAATTGAATATAAAGTATCATAATGAAAGTTTGTTTACACTTCATTTTTTAATGTTTTGAAAGATTATATGCTGGAGAAATGGATTTTTTTCCTTGACGCATTAGGGATACTTTTTATACAGAGGGAACTAAATTTAAAATAAATGATATGTATATTAAAAGTAGTATCAAAATAAAAGTTTCTTGTAAAATTCAATAAGCAAATTTTCGGTTAATGTTTTGGTAAGTACATGACATGTATATGAAAACATTTCCTCTACATTTTCCAAAACGGGCATAAAGTATGTTAATCAGATAATTTTAAGTCCAGGATTTACATAAAAATGTTTTATATCATTTGATTGGAATAAACAGAATATAAAGCTGCATGCCTCCAACCACAATATTTTAAGAAAATCAAACGTGTGTCAAGTTTTTGCCACTTGCGCCAAAAAATCCCCGTTGCGTTACTTAGTCATACCAGTTCAAAAGAACTTTGTACACGCGGTACACGGTTCACTCGGTCGTATAGTAGTGCATGGTGTTATTGTAGCTATAATGTTCACTGTTACTATTTATCGTTACTGTTACTATTTATCGGAACAAGAAATAGTAAAACGCTATTAAGAAAACAAAACTGTAATCGATTTATACAGTTTAAAAGATTAAAACGGAATGAAACATCCACGTAGCGCTATGTAACGTAAATAATATTTTCCGATTTTTCTTTGTACCGATCGATTCGTTCACTTCGATGTTCGTAACGTACCGTAAAACGATGTTTAGCTAGGTTTTCGAAAAAGGTCAAATTTTCGTTTAAGTTAAGTCGTATTTTGAAACGGAGCATGCGCAAAACAAATTTTGTAGACTGCTCCTAATGGTTTTAAGCTGTAAATGACATTCATTTACTACAATCAGATACGCAAAAATGGATGCCGCCAGCAATCAGTCTGAACACTATGGAGAGGTCTGATGACCTCTCCAATAAGGTGTCACACGACTTACTTCGAAACTGCTATTTCGTGTATTCTTAATTGCAGATATAGCCGATTTCCGATATCCAATTATATTAAGTTACGTATGTTCTCCCGCATATGACATATCAAATAACTGTTAATGCAAAACTAACGGAATTTAATAAACAATGAACAAATATCAACATTATTTCCTTAGAGTTCAGTGAGGAAAGAATTTTACTAATAATTTCAATTTACTAAATCTAAGACAGTATTTCGTAAAAATTCTCAACATTATCATTTTAAATGATATATTTATTATTTTATTTTATAGAGGTCGAGAGTTAATGACAAAGTAATGTACTAGTATATAATGATAGAATTATAGATATAATTAACTGAGGAACTATAGTTATTGATCGGACAAGGGCTTCACATCAACTCAACCCATTGACCTCAGGTGTTACAAACTTACAGCAACATCAGGCGTTAAACCCTACTCACCTGCTGGAACTAAAAGATTCATGAAGTCCAGTAATTCGAACCCATTAAGTCGCCTCTTACGATCACTCAAGCATAAAAAACCTTTTCTTATTTCTTTCAGACAGTGTTTTTATATACGTATAGCGACACTGTGACCTCGATTTTTTGTCTAATTACCTCAAAACCAATAGGAGTCATCTACTGATCCTACATAAATACAAAATAAGACTGATCCCTTCTTAAGTTATTGACATTGTCACTGTGACCTTGGCCTTTGACCTCATGACCTCGGAATCAATAGGTCACGGGCAATGTCCCTTCCAAGTAACATAAACCAGCAGCATATTCCTTCTTAAGTTGATCGGATAAGGATTTTACATTGTCACTGTGGACTTGAACTTTAACGAATGACCTCAAACTACCGGTATGATCAACGTCACTACGATGTTTTACAGTCAGCGCAACTGCGACCTATAGAGTTACTGTGATCTTGTCTTTTGGTCTAATGACCTCCAAATCAATAGAGGTCATCTACTGACTAGAAACAATGTCCTTGTCAAAAGTTACAAACTTAGGCTTATTCTTTCTAAATTAATAGATCAGACAAAGATTTTAAACAATTGCCTTGATGCCCTTAAAATCAAAAGGGGTTATCTACTGGATACGGACAATCTCCCTCTTACATAAAAACAGCTGATTCCTTGTCCTTTTTTGGTGAAGTGAAAAACAGGGCGTGCGTGCCCATCACAGAGGGATCTGTAGCGCCGCATATCAGCGCTGCAGTAACGCTAAATTCTTATATGGGGCAGAAATGTACCTTTTAGCCGCATACAGAGGATTAACTTCACCGTTTGAAAATCTAATGAGGAAGGCAACGGTGGTGATGGTACTTTGATTTTGTTAACATCTAGTAAACCGATTTCCTCTTTTCCGATTTCTTGTGAGATAGGGGTCACACATTTTATTTATTCAGTGGTGAATGAAGCTGTGTAGCTGCTTTATCTCTTGTTCAAATACAATGTAAATTCTTGAGTCAGTTTAAAGTCCTGATCACACCTTTGGAATAATTTGGACCAGCGTGTTAGGCGTCGCCCTATTCCACCATCAAATGGCATTCAGCCAAGACGAGCCTTAATTCAGGAATGGAACATCCCACAAACCAAAATCAATACGCTGATCCGTTCTTTGCATCAACGATGCCAGACAGGCTTTCATCATAGCCGATGTTAATTTGTTGGGCGCCTTCTGCATTTTAACTACAATTTCAACAATTTGGATAAACCCTCGGCAATTTTTTTTTCACAATAAAATACCCTTTCAATACATAATTATATATCTGCTTTAATGGTGTTTTCATGTTTGCTTATATCTGCACAGGGAAGTTTTTTATGTTTAGTATATAAAATGCAATATACGTCCTTAATGCCAGTACTCAATAATCTAAGATCGAATCTTTGAACGTTCCTGTACGGCACATTTCTCAAATTCGGGGATCCTTTGACTTAAGACTGCTATGTAAAGACCTGTCAGAAATGTACTACATGTACTTTAATTGTGGAACTTATACTTTATAAAGAATGGATCAGTAAGTCAATACTTTCGTTCTGGTGAAATTTTCAAGATAAATTTTCTGTAACATGAACAATGAACCATTATTATCAAACTTCACGCTATGACAGATTTTCACTTTACTGTCTTTAAGCTCATTCTAAAAAGCAGACAAAATAAATCCATACACTATAACAGAAGTCTGATTTACTATTATACAATTTTGAATTTGAATAACCACCAGAAGCTAAACTTTTCAAGATTCAACATACAATAGTTCCAAAAAAAACGCACAACATATTTGAGGCGCACCGATGGTACTTCAGATAGGAGTTGAGAGTATATTACAACAAAAATATATATCATTAGTTAAATTCAAGAAGCACTGTCACTGAAAAAATCAAGCGCACATCGTTAGATCAAAGGTTAATCATTCTCAAGTTTCGGGACCCGCTATAGAAACAACATCTTTTCATTCCGGTGCCCCATACAGGATTCCGCATATAATTGACATGTATATATTGGACACATATTATGTATGCCATATGACTTCCGATTTAAATATTTTATGAAACTGTGTATTTTGTACAAAACTTATGTAAGTTTATTCTATTGTGTTCTTTTTCAAGCTTCCCAATTCTAACGTATTCAAGTAACAAATGAATTTAAAAATGTCTTGGTACAGATAAATTAGTAACATGGTATGTTAAAAACAGAATGTACATAATAAACTAAAACACATGTTTTTGTCTGAATAAAATATTTTAATTTTCGATCAACGCATACAATAATATAATCTACAGTATATAAAATGAAATGCAACAAATACCTTTAAGGAACTCCACAGAGGCCGGAAATCATAGAAACATATAATTTAAATTTCGTTCATAGATCAACTGGGCCACTTAAAACAGATAAGGTCACAAAAATATTCCTGAGAATAAGTTTAAAAAATATTTATTGAGCCCGATTTGAGTGAAAAGCGTTGCAACGTTTTTCAATTTTGTGTCATTTTACACAAGTATAATGATTATTCTAGAAAAACGGAGGAGTGAGTAAACGATATGAAAGTTTGCACACCATTTATTGGCCAAGACCCACATCAAATAAATCATTACATTTATTTATAAAAGCAAGTCCCGTCATGTCAAAATATCTCAGTGGAGTCCCTTTAAACTGTGATTATATATAGAAATATAATATAAACACTTATTATTGTGTCTATGCCAAACTTACATGTATATCATAAAACTATATACTTTTTTTAAATCTACTACTCCTGCATTGTTTTTTTCTTCTTCTTTTTAGTTGTTTTTTTTTTTTTTTTTTTTTTTTGTTGTTGTTTTTTTTTCAGTTGATAAAATTGTAAATACAATGCCAAATGTATAGTTTATACAATGGAGCTTTTGAAGTAATTAAGTATATAGCGCTTGATTTCTACCAAAATAAGTTTTTATAAATATTGAATTAAGCAAATAATGGTCCAAGGAACTGAAAACAGATATTAGGGGAAAACGCCAAATACGCATTATCGAATGTCCCCTTCTTTTAATGATAGCCAATTACTGTCACGATTTTTTAATATTATTATGATTTTGAATGTGTCCAACGTTAGAAAGTTGAAAAAACACTCTCAACACATAACATTTTGCATAGAATAGCATATGTAATTATAACAAGAATCTTCTCATTTGTAACATATTTAAGTTCGGTGCATTTTCCAGAAAAAAGTTCCTGCATGGATTATAGTAATCGCTATCACTGTTTATAAAGGATCTTGAATAGCCATTGTGCCTGTGAGTGTAACCAACTCGCCTGTGAAGTTTCACATCTTGAGACTGAATAATTTCCCGCCATTTATTTCAAATAATCAACATCTATTATGCACGAGATGCCCTCTGTTATGATATGACGCAGCAGCAACCTTTTTTCTTTTGAGTCTAAAATTAATATTAAGCAGGTTACAATTATATTGGTTACAATATTGCTAGTGTTTAAGTACGAGTACCACTCAAGTCGGTGCAAGGGGACGTAAGGAATGTTGCACTTTTTCATTATCTGTCACGTACAAAGTCTGCAATTTTCATGTATTTTGGTCCAAGGGATAATCCTAATTGCTTAAGTTTTGAGAGGATGGTTGTGACTTTAACCTGTCTCTTATGAAATGGCCAGACTCAATACTACGGTGTTCCGTTTGGACAATCGTGATTTTTCTATCTGTACCCACGATGCACGATGGTACGATGGTGAAAACGCGATGACACGATGGTACGATGGTGAAAACAGGATGGTACGATGATGAAAAAGTGAAAACCCGATGGTACGATGGTGAAATCGCGATGTAACATCGCATTCCCCATCGAACCATTGCGTTTTCAACATCGTACCATCGCGTTTTCACCATTGTTCCATCGCGCTTTCACCATCGTGCCATCGCGCTTTCACCATCGCACCATCGTGTTTTCACCATCGTACCATCGCAATTCACCATCGTACCATCGCACCATCGTGTTTTCACCATCGTTCCATCGCGATTTCACAATCGTACCATCGCACCATTGTGTTTTCACCATCGTACCATCGGGTTTTCACCATCGTACCATCGCGTTTTCACCATTGTGCCATCGCGCTTTCACCATCGTACTTTCACGTTTTCATCATCGTGCCATCGCGCTTTCACCATCGTACCATCGCGCTTTCATCATCGTGCCATCGCGCTTTCTACATCGTACCATCGCGTTTTCACCATCGTACCATCGCGATTCACCATCGTATCATCGTGTTTTCACCATTGTTCCATCGCGATTTCACAATCGTACCATCGCACCATTGTGTTTTCACCATCGTACCATCGCGTTTTCACAATCGCACCATCGCGCTTTCACCATCGTGCCATCGCGCTTTCACCATCGTACCATCGCGCTTTCACCATCGTATCATCGCGTTTTCATCATCGTGTCATCGCGTTTTCACCATCGTACCATCGCGTTTGTTTTCACCATCGCGTCATCGCGCTTTCACCATCGTACTACCGCGTTTCATCGTACCATCGCCCATCGCGATTACACCATCGTACTATCGTGTTTTACCATCGTACTTTTTCAATTGGTATCGTCGCGTTTACATCATTACCATCCTGCATCGCAGGTATAGGGATCGAAATAAAAATACTTGTCCAAACGGAACACAACCGTATTTACAATGCATTTTTTTTATATTGTTTCCATTTTAGAATGATGACTAGCAGCTGCATTTTTATAAATCACTCTTGTCAAACTAAATTTTAGATAACAGTGTTGGGTTACTTACGTTGGCACAAAGGTGGCATGTGTGTGTTTTTATTTATCTCGTGGCAACGAGATACTATGTCGTGGCCACGATTTACTAAGTCGTGGCCACGAGATAGCTAAGTCGTGGCCACGAGATACTATGTCGTGGCCACGAGATACTATGTCGTGGCCACGAGTTTCTAAGTTGTGGCCACGAGATAGCTAAGTCGTGGCCACGAGATACTATGTCGAGGCCACGAGTTACTAAGTCGTGGCCACGAGTTACTAAGTCGTGGCCACGAGATAGCTATGTCGTGGCCACGAGATAAATAACCAATCAGATTACACCATTTATATGAATTTCCCTAAATAACTAGACATGTGCTATAGTACAAGGATGTCCCTACTTCACCAGCCTGTAAAAGTGCCATTTATACAACTTATTGACTGGTGAATAATTTTACATTTAGCGTCACTGTGACCTCGAAATTATTAGATGTCATCTACTGATCAGGTGATATTTCTGGGTTAAATAAACCATGGCTTATCCCTTCTAAATTATTCATCAGACAAGGATTTTACCTTATAGGTTATCTACTGTCCATGGGCAATGTCCCTTCCAAATAAAATAAACCAGGACTTATTCCTTCTCATGTTATCGTATAAACAAGGTTAACAGACCGTTGTACGTACAAACTGACCAATTCTATCACAAAATTGTCCCGACAAAGAGCTATAGTCAAAATTAATGTCTGATGGGCTTGACTTTCTAATATGATTCTAAAGACAATTTCAAAGTGAATATCTTCAGTATTTTCAAAGATTAATGTTGCATGTAAAACTAAGTTGTTAATTTTTTTAAAAAAATCATAATATATAGTGTACTCTGATTAGGTAATTATCTCGTGGCCACTTAGCTATCTCGTGGCCACGACTTAGTAACTCGTGGCCACGACATAGTATCTCGTGGCCACGACTTAGCTATCTCGTGGCCACGACTACGTAACTCATGGCTACGACATAGTATCTCGTGGCCACGACTTAGCTATCTCGTGGCCACGACTTAGTAATTCGTGGCCATAACATATTATCTCTTGGCCACGACTAAGCTATCTCGTGAGCACGACATAGTATCTCGTGGCCACGAGATAAATAAACATACACACATATGTCACCTTTGTGCCACCGTAGTTACTTTACCTGTTGAAAGACAATATAAAGTGGAACTTTTTCCCCGGACTTCTCGCTAGAACTTATTTTGTTCACTCCTTCCACTCCTTTCTGTAACCTTGCTAGCTTATCTCTCTACAAAATACCAGTTACAGAGATGATAAACAGAATATTATTAACGGATCTTTAAACATTACAAGTGGTTAGCAGGGGGGCTCCTTGTTTCATAGTTGTGGCTGTAAAAAGCACCAACAAAAGGCCCGGTATAACCCAGAAAATATGTTATGCTTATTTCACCAAAGCTTATTAATTATGGGATTCTTTTCTAGTTTCAAAAAATAATTTACCCATTAGCCATTTACCTGAACCATCTTTTCTTCTGTTGCGTTTTGGCATAAGGTACAGTTGCAGTTGTATGGAAGTCAAAATACTACTTTGTTTATTTATTTTTTTTTGACAATTTTTAATGACAAATAATTTCACATTAGGCGCTTCTTTCCTCGGGTAACAAGTATATAATATGCTCTAAATCCACTCTATCTAAACGATACAAAGTCATGTTTCTACAGAAGAAAAAAAACAATGATTCGTTTCTGAGGAATACTGTGCCTTTAATAAATTCACCACATTAATGATTAGAATACTTATAATAAAATGCAGTCACAAAAAAGATGGAATAATACAGGAAAATCTACTAACTGGATAGCAAACAAATGTGAAGAAATTATTTACTCACCATAAGCATCTTTGTTTTTTCAAGATCTTTCTGGATTTTTTCGAGTTTGCCATCCAATTCCTCATCCAATTCCTGCATTCTGTAAAATATAAGTTTGTCATAATTCTAACGTAATCCGATACTACATGGATAACATTAAAGTATAAAACAAATCTGTTGGCAACTCTATGAAAATATGTTCCTGGTGAACTCCAAATAAATTGTCCTTATACAGATGTATTTCACAAAAAAACGTAGCAAGAAAAAGTTATTTTCGAGAAACAACACTTTTATAAGCTTTAAACATCTAATTTTGAATAATGGTATTTTAAAAAAAGTCGTATTCGTGGTGGAATGCGTCATTGCCGTTGTCGTAGCTGTACTTGTAGTTGGCTCTAGTCGGCGGTAAAGACGTGAATGTAGTAGGTGTCGTAATTGTTGCTGTTCTCGAAGTCCTAGAAGTACGCGTCATCGTAGCTGTACTCGTTATCATAAAAATCGTATTCGTGGTGTAAGTCTTCGTATTCGTACATTTGTACCTGTAGTCGTAAATGCTGTTATCGTTGTCGACGTAGTGAAAGTCGTAGTTATTTTCGCTGTCGAAGCCTTGATGGTCACAATCTCATTGGATAATCGTTTAAATACTTCAGAAAACTATATACACGGCTGCTGTCAATTTATGACTTTTTTCTCCAATAAAGGATGGATGCTGTAAAGATTTTTGACGGGTTATATATGGCACTATATAAACTGTAGTTTGCAATATATAACCCGAGTTGCTAGGGGAGGATTATATTGCTAGCAGTGGTATATACGGCGATATGCAACATCTTGACGTATATACCACTGCACGTTTGTGACGTCGCTTTTTATTGGATAATCGTGACGTTTATATAGTTTTATACCTTTTTTGTCCGTTTAGTGACATTTTCTTCATACGCATTGTGCATGTTTTGGACACACCAGAACCCACGACGGAAACATATCTCGATGAAGACTCATAGAAATCCAAAACAAAAATGGGTAATATAGAGTCAGGAGGGCAGTCACATTTCGATTTTCTTTTTAAAAAAAACGATTGAATTTTATAAAACTGTTTAAAAGATGAAAACTTATCTTGCGATTGACCTAATTTTACAGTCACATCTGGTGTTTTGCCTCACATCTAGAGCAGTGGAAATTCACATATATTTTTTTGCTCATTTTTGAGATACTTATGGGGTTCCGCCCCCGTGAAAGCTATCAATTTATGAAGAAATCTCACATTTCTCGCTAAAGAAAGGCTGGCGGTTTGGTTCATATTTCCAAACAAACGTTTATATAGGGTCATAAAACCTGTCAAAAGTCGTTATAACTAATAACATGAATAATATTTAACGTATACAGCTCACGCGTAAGCTATACACGTCGTAAGCTGTAAACCGCGCAACGTATCGTCCGACAAATTAAAGTTACAAATCATGTGAATGTTTACGGCTACAGAATCCACGAATAATTTAATAGAAATACAATCACATGAACATGTAGTACAAAACAAAACCTTATTAATTATTGTTCTCTGCCTTTAATTATTGTAAAGAAAGCAAAAGCTTACCTCTGTATTCAACCTCCACTTCCTTGTTGGTAAAAATTACATATCAGTTACAAATAGTGACATTGTTTCTTTATCTGAAATAAACAAAATATTATGATGTTATCAAGATAAATAGATAGGAATTTCATTAACATATATATTTTTAACAATGAGGTGTCACGCGACTTATTTCTAAGGCGATTTTTCGTGTATTCTTATGTTCTCCATCAAATAACTGTTACTAGTAATACAAAACTAACGGAATTTAATAAACAATGAACAAATATCAACATTTTTTCCTTAGAGTTCAGTGAGGAAAGAATTTTACTAATAATTTCAATTTACTAAATCTAAGAGTCTTTCGTAAAAATTCTCAACATTATCATTTTAAATGATATATTTATTTCATAGAGGTCGACAGTTAAATGACAAAGTAATGTATATAATAATAGAATTATAGATATAATTAACTGAGGGAACTATAATTATTGATCGGACAAGGGCTTCACATCAATTCAACCCATTTACCTCGGGTGTTACAAACTTACAGCAACATCAAGCGTTAAAACCTTCTCACCTGCTGGAACTAAGAGATTCATAAAGTCCAGTAATTCGAACACATTAAGTCCTCTCTTACGATCACTCAAGCATAAAAAACCTTTTCTTATTTCTTTCAGACAGTGTTTTTATATACGTATAGCTACACTGTGACCTTGACTTTTGGTCTAATTACCTCAAAACCTACAGATCCTACATAAATACAAAATAAGGCTGACCCCTTCTTAATTTATTGACATTGTCACTGTGACCTTGGCCTTTGACCTCATGACCTCGGCCTTTGACCTCGGAATCAATAGGTCACGGACCATGTCCTTTCCAAGTAACATAAACCACAGCTTATTCCTTCTCAAGTTGATCGGATAAGGATTTTACATTAAGTATCACTGTGGACTTGAACTTTAACGAATGGTCTCGATCAACGTCACTACGATGTTTATACATAGTGTAACTGCGACCTGTAGAGCTACTGTGATCTTGACTTTTGGTCTAATGACCTCCAAATCAATAGAGGTCAACAATATCCCTATCAAAAGTTACAAACTTAGGCTTATTCTTTCAGACAAAGATTTTAAACAATTGTCTTGATGACCTTAAAATAAAAAGGGGTTATCTACTGGATACGGACCATCTCCCTCTTACATAAAAACAGCTTATTCCTTCTGTCCTTTTTTAGTGAAGTGGAAAACGGGACGTGCGTGTCTATCACAGAGTGTTCTGTAACGCCGCATATCAGCGCTGCCACATAAACTAGGTCGGTCTCAATGCGCTAACAGGGTGACCACGTTTATGCAGCAACGCTTAATTCTTATATGGGGCACAAATGTACCTTTTAGCCGCATATGTACAGAGGATTTACTTCACCGTTACAAAATCTAATGAGGAAGGCAACGTTGCGGTGGTGATGGTACTGTTTGTTAACTTCTAGTTTATCGATTTCCTCTTTTCCACCAGTCCGTTCCGATTTCTTGTGAGATCACGCGTGGTATATCTGCTTTATTTTTTGTTCGAGTACAATGTAACTTCTTGAGTCTGTTTAAAGTCCTGATCAACACCTTTGGGTTAATTTGGACCAGCGTGTTAGGCGTCGCCCTATTCCACCATCAAATGTCATTCAGCTAAGACGAGCCTTAATTAATTCAGGAATGGAACATCCCACAACGCTGATCCGTTCTTTGCGCAAACGATGTCAGACAGGCTTTCATCATAGCCGATGTTAATTTGTTGGGCGCCTTCTGCATTTTAACTACCATTTCAACAATTTGGTTAAACCCTCGGCAATTTTTTTCCACAATAAAATGCCCTTTCAATACATATATATCTGCTTTATTTGTGTATATCTGCACATGGGAAGTTTTTTATGTTCTGTATATAAATTGCAGTATACGTCATTAATGCCAGTACTCAATTGTCGAAGATCGAATCGTTGAACGTTCCTGAACGGCACATTTCTCAAATTCGGGGAACCACTATGTAAAGACATGTCAGAAATCGTAATCTAGCCCAAATTTTCATGAAGTTTTGATAGTACTTTTGAAGCTTCTAGTAATTCTCTTAATTAAACAGACAAATGAATGTGCAAGGCAAATATTTTTGACAAACAGAAAAAAACCCAAAGAAATCTGCACTTTTCATAATTTATTTTTAGTAGAAAAAGACTATTAAAATGAAGCATGTACAAAAACTACAAACATTCAGCTGTTAATCAAATATAGAACTGTTGCAAAAACGTTTCAATAAATATACAATAACAAAGAATGAACATAATAATATTCTAAACAAGAATCGAGACAGTTCAGGTATCATCACCATGATTTAACCATGAATAGGGATTTTGAAAATATTTAATTTTATACAATTAAAACCTTGAAAACCAAATTGTGTTAATTATGTGATACAGATGTTTTAATACATAACCCTTATTACAAAAGTGTCTTGATTTGGAACTTGTATTTCACTGAAGTGGATTTTACTATACTGAGATATGTCATCCATTCTAGTAAAAATCTAGGAAATCAAATGAATTATAAAATAGATCAAGATAATTTTTTACAATATTCATACTGTCCCAAATTTAAAATTTTCCTTCTGTTGGATTTTATGTATGTAAGTGAATTATGCAAAAGATATGGGAAAATATATGTTTTACAATACAGTTTATTTTAATATATAAATTTAACTGGGGTGAAATATTTTTACAACAGTTCTATATTCAATAAATTTGATGCCATGGCAGAGAAAATGAAACATGTATGTATTTTATCACAGGGACTTAATTGTTTACATTTAAAATGTTGAACGAACTGACCTTTTGACACTTAACTTATTTACTGATACATCATGAACACAATTGTTAGCGAGAGGGGAAAAATGTAAAAGTTTTGTTTCATATAGTAAAACTTAAATTAATAATATTGCTAATAATGAAGACAATGTTTTTCAAAACAAAACTCTTTTCAGTCAACAATAAGAGACAAGATTATTTTAATGACTATTGCATATTAGCATACTGTGTAAATGCCTCTTAAACAATAGTGTGGTTGGCAAGTGACAAAAGCAAGCCTCAAGGATTTCTTAGATAATTTCAAATACATAATTTTAAGCAGTACCATTAATGTGATAATGTCAAGAAATAACTTTTGCTGTCAAACTTGCGCAACCAGTACAATAAACGGAATACATGCTATTTCTTAATATAATATACAATGTGACATCCATATGTATTTTCCCTAATTCTAGTACTCCATGATGAGAAATAAATAATATCTTCAGAAAAAAACCAGCACATTTACATAACAATCACACTGAGGCTTAATTTAATGAATATTCAGTCTACATAGGTCGTCCTCGACCCCGCCCCATTCCTCCTGGAGGACCTCCTTCACCTCCAGCTTGTGGATTTTTTATGGTTTCATCTACAGACAGTATAAGACAGGTAGCCTCTGCGGCGGCTGTGATAGCATTAATTTTTACTACAGAAGGTTCCCAAACAAAAGCTTCAAAATTGTCAGCTATATCTTCATTAAGGACATCAACTCCATACCACTTGCCACCTGTAATTAGCAAATAATTGAGTAGTTAAATTTCAATGCTTCTTTAACATGTGAAATAAAATTTTAAATTAAAATTGTGGAATGTCAAGTAAAAATTTACACTTTCTATGTAACTGTTGATAAACAGTGTCAGAAAACGAGGCAAGTTATATTATATCTGCCTTCAAACTTGCATAATGTTCAAAAAATAAAATTTCTTGGTATATTTTCCCATAAAGTTCTACATGATTTCAATTTTATTTCCAATGCTATTGTTCAATAATCCAAAATAATTGTAAAATAAAGAAACATCCTATCTTAAGAAATATAATATAATGAATTTTTTTACGTGCAATTAAAAATACCTGCTCCCATTAACCTTTTACCTCATATAGATGTGTTTTAACGGCTTTTTGCCCCCTCACACCACTTTTTTTGTAACAGGAGGCTTTTCAATGAAAACGGCCATTTTTCACATGCTCATGGGGTAAAAGGTTAACAACATAATGCAACTGTGACAGATTTGATATATTAACTTTTAACTAATTTAAACATAATGAATGAAGCAATGGTTTGGCTCGGACAAGAATCAAGATCTCTATCTTGTGAACCAGAGATATCTAAACAAATAAGGCAAGCTAACTATTCCACCAAACAACGCAATTGTTGCAATTCCGAACTTAACATGTGTGGGTTTTTCCAAGTTAATCCCCACGTACAACCAAACTTAAAACCGTTTAAAGATGTTTTCGAGAGTTTTTTCATATAGACATATAGGCAAAATTAAAACTGTTCAATAGAATTTCTTTAAACTTGGCATGTTGTTAGAATATGATAACAGAAACATTTTAAGTGAAAAAAAAAAATTGGGGTCACAGTTCTCGTTTTCTATATGTCTATATGAAAACTCCTGAAAACGACCTTAAGCTACAAGGAGCACTGCCGTTCACAATAGATTATTCAACCTGTTGGGCTGTTTTTTTAGTTTTAACTGTAAAAGTTTGTTTGCAACCCCAGATTAGTTGGGAAAACCCAGAAAATTCTTAGTTCTGTAGTAAATCTATGGAAAACTGGACTAGATTGTAATAAACTACCTTGAGCATGACTTTGTCGGAGTTTATTGAGAATATTGGTTGCATCAAAACCAGCATTTTCACACAACTGTCTAGGAATGATCTCAAATGCCTTGGCCATAGCTCCGATCAGCAACTGTTCTTTACCAGCTATTGTCCGTGAACAATCTCGTAAATGTTTACTTAGTTCCATTTCTATAGCTCCACCACCTGTTAATATAAAAGTTTTTATTGATAGTTCTAGGTAAAAGGAATAAAAAAATATTCACATCAGTTGATAATCTTCACATGAATACATTACAGTACTCTTTAGATCATCATAAAAGTGTGTAATATTACAACCTAGTACAGTACCAAATATTGCTTCAATATGTTCCAGTATGTATATAATGTTATGAGATTTGACCTAGTCTCATGTTCATGCATGTGTCATTATACTGTTTTTATCACTTGAAGTATTTATTGGTTAAACCAATCTAAATTCAAATATTGTTTGTTTTATTACATATTTTTTTTAAAAATCTATAACAATTTTTATTTCATTGTTTCAAATTAAAATTTACAAAATTGTAACAATTTGAACAAACGTATCCTAGTAAATGAATCTGGCACAGTAAGGATAACTTTTCAAAGTCTGGTATAATTCACTTTAAATGAGCAAAATAATATATACCTAACAGTAACATGGAAAACATATAGACTTACCAGCAACAACAGAATCATTTTTCATTGCTCGTCTAACGATCATAATGGCATCGTGTAGAGATCTTTCTGTTTCCTCAATAAACTGTTCCGCACCACCACGTAATAATAACGTACATGTCTTAGCTCGTACACAGCCAGTAAACAAATTATATCTGTAAACATATGAACAAAATATAATTGAAACATAACTGATCCGAAAATAACCACATGTTGAATGGATAAAACTAAAAGTGATTAAGTACTTTGTATGGAAGTCAAAATACTACTTTATATTTCCTACTTTTTATCACATTCAACACAACTTTCTTCAGGTGATCTGCATCTAACACAGTGTTTATTCTAGGAGGGGGGATGGGGGGATTCACCCCTATTTTTGAGAATTCACTCCTATTTTTTCAGAGGCAGGGGGAAAATTTACATAGAGAAAGAAGGGAAAAGATCAACAAATATAATAAATTCTGACTTTTCGATAAAAATCCCCCCTATTTTTCGAATCCTAGAATAGACCCTGCTAACATGCTCTTAACCATTAACTATACTGAACTAAAAAAGAAACTTTCGCAAAGTATGTGCCAGTTGTTCAAGGGTACCACTTAGATGTACACACTTATATACATGTAGTATGTAGTAGCTTGTAAAACTCGTTTTGTTTGCAAAATCGGTCAGCTAATCCCCGTATAAAAGCCTGATATGTTTATTCAACGTAAAAATCGAGTTTCAAAAGGATTGAAAAACTGTACAAACATATCTACATTCAAACTTGGAGAGAGTTTCTTTTTTGTTTCAGTATATATGTTATAAAACTCATATTTGTCCTTTTTACAGAAGTATTTATTTGTTTCTGAGGCATAATGTGCTTTTAAACCATCTTGACTGTATTGTATGAAGGAAATAATACACTTAGCAGCTTGTAAATACTAACTATTCTCCACAAAAACAAATAGGATGTAAGTTTCGTTAGTACCTTATCATTAAAATGAAAATTGAAAGAATAGTAAACTACTAACCTCTCTCCACCAACTTGTATTTCCTCAAATTTCTCACATGAGCCTAATACACTGTCTACGAGATTACCAACTGATGTTTGTATAGAACCACCACATGCCTTCATTGTTCTCTTTAAATCTTCATCTACCACACGCCCAGCACAGAACATATCTCTAAAATATAAAATATTACCTTTAATCTTCTCCATACTATTTCTTAGCAAAAAGGTAAGAAAAATATTTGAGCCGCGTCATAACAAAACCAACATAATGGGTTTGCGACCAGCATGGATCCAGACCAGCCTGCGCATCCGCGCAGTCTGATCAAGATCAATGCTGTTCGCAAACCCATTATGTTAGTTTTGTCATGGCACGACTCATTTTATGAAATCACATTTAAGCATGAAACAGAAAATCTAGATGGTGAAAACTCAAGTTTTTCTCACACAAGTTATCTCTAAATAACTGTTGAATATCAGCTGTTGTATATAAATAATTGTATATAAACTGTTGTATATAAGTATATTAAGACATTGCTACTATATACTCCGACATATTTACTACCTATACACAGGCATATTTACTACCAGGTTTTGTAAACCTGACCTCCATTCATAAATAGCTTCTAATGTAACAGGAGTTCAAATATCTTATAAACATACACCTCATTTCCCCCAAACAAAAAGTAAGTGATATACATGTTTTCTTATCAAGTAAATATTTATTCAAACAACAATCCTATCTGACAAGATATTAGATCACACAAAAAATATTGAATATATAAAAAATATATAAGTTCACTCAAGTTCACAAGAATCAGCCAACGGATTTACCTGTCAGCAAAATACTGTGTTGCTACATCTCCAATAGGTAATTTAGACAAAACTACTTTAGCTCCACTCTTGTGAATCTTGTCTAATTTATCATACAAAATTTTCCATTCTGCATCTACAATAGCTTGATATTCCTGAAGTGAAAATAACAAAATATAAAACACATTTAATAAACAAAATATCAGAGTTGCTGGCAGCTGCCTGGGAGAACCTTGAATTGTTAAAGATCAGAAAATGAGACATCAATGAAATTTAGTGAATAAATAAGATTACTTTACCAATTAAGATATATACTCTGGAATGTACACGGGGAAATAAAAGGTCAACTTCATAATCAAAGTGTTTCAATCAACATTAATTTTACTAGAAAAATAACCTGGAAGGTACAACTGAAGACATTTTGTATAATTATGTAGATATTTTGGTGAAAATTCTGTAAAATCAACTTTAATTATCAAAATTAGGTAACTCAAATGATCAGTCACCTATATAATTCTTAACATGCCCCACCTCCAAATGAAAAGTGTCCCGGAAGTGTAAGCTTATGTACATTATTTGACAAAGGTCATTTCAAACAGTGGTGGCTGGCAAATGTTTTATTTATTTGTTGCATTCAACTGATTTTCAAGGAAAAACAGTACTCTTGTCAACATTAAAAATTCCAAAATGACAAACTAAAATCTCAAATGACTACAATTTAACCTCTTAGCCTGCTGGCAGCATATCAACATTCACATACAACCAGTACAAACAATAATCACCTGGCATATATCCCAGCCTTCTGATCATGGTCTGCACTGTTTACTATTCAGTAAATATTTTGAAATTTTCCCTAATAACGATAATGGTTTTGTCCATATTATAAGATGGGCAAGTCCATGTAGGATATTTGTTCATGGTAAAGGGTTAATGATTAAGGTAAATATGCAGCTATTAAACTATTAAATAAAATACAGCAATCAAACTATGATGCTGAAATCCTGAAGCCGTTTAGAAACTGAGCTAACTGCTATAATTTAAATAATCAGCTGACCAGATGAACTTAATTATAAAATGTTTATCCATGCAAATAATGATACTTTAGAATATTATAATTTGAATATTAATAAAACACTTACTTGGACATTATCAACTCTAATTTCAGCATTTTCTTTCTCTGCCTTCAACTCAAGCTCTACATTCAGCAAAGCTATTTTTGGATTTTCATATTTCTTCGGTTGCATTTCAAAACCAGCATAACTGAATGTCTTCTTAAACGCTACACCATCAACTAGCCTTGAATCCTAGAGAATCAAAATAAGAAGCATAAATTACAGACCTATCAATACATTTCATGAATGTTAACAGCTTGGAAAAATATTGGATGCAAAAAGAGTTTTTTTTTATTTTACTTTTCCATGAAATTTATCCTATCAAACAAATATTTGATAAAAAAATCAAAACAAAACATGTTTGCTTCTATCAACTAGTTACAAGACAATATGCAGTGAACTTAAAGAAAGAAGCTTGATAATATACCACACTGTGAAACACTGAACTGCCAAATACTGCAAACAGCTGTCTGTGTGTGGAACACATTTGGTGCCGACTATGGGACATATCAATACACCATAAAGTCATCATTATGTATAGGTTGTATCATAGTTTGGGGACCTTTCTGTTGAAAATGTGTCATGGTTAATTTGTATACATTCATGCACAGTGCGTTAACTGGAGTGCAGATATTAGTTACCCGCACTCCAGAGCATGCCCATGATTGGCTCATTTTTGCTGGGGTTTACTTATTACTTATTGTGATGGCAGAGAAAGGGAGAGCGATAGAAATATCATATTCAGATGCTTGTTCATTGGTTACCTTTTTCTAGGGTCTCGTTTTCTGACAACAGGGAAAGTGTTTTTATGTTTGGCTACGATATAAAAGAGAAAGAACAAAACTCTCGGAAATCTGATTAATTCTCAGGGGCTACACCCCCTTGTACAAATCAGATAGCCTCGTGTTTTGATGCTCTTTCTATTACTAATAATTAATGTCAGCTTCTAACTATGTTACCTAACATTAGATAGTTAACAACTTAAGGAAAGCTATTAATTATACCACACTGTGAAACACTGAACTGCAATATACTACAAACAGCTGTCTGTGTGTGGAACACATATTTGGTGCCAACTGAATATGAATCCATTCATAAACACACGTCAGATTTCTCTTTAAAATAAGGTTTACATTAATTTAATCATATTTGAAATTTGACCTTCTCATAAAGGTCATATTTATACTTAAATATGTCAAAAGGAGGTAAATTTGAGTATTTTGTTTCAAAGTCTGAAGGCTTTAGCTCTGTGAATGATGTTTCACCAACGTGTTTTCTGTCTCAGCAGCAAACCAGATATACAAGCATCACATTTACCAATATGGGGCATAACAATACACCTTAAAGTGATCATTATGTATAGGTGATAATTTATGTCAGCTTTAATAACTATGTTACCTAACATTAGATAGTTAACAACTTGAGGAAAGCTATTCATTATACCACACTGTGAAACACTGAACTGCCAAATACAGCAAACAGCTGTCTGTGTGTGGAATTAACATAAACTTTGTGACTTATATTCACACAGCTATGTAAATCTAAAGGCGGAACAAGAGTTGTTAGAAAGACAGCACGCTCAACTATCAGTATAATATAGCTTTTTCTAATTTCAAAAAGGGCCATAATTCTGCCAAAATCCATGTTAGAGTAATGGGCCAGAAGTATTGCCTTCCTATTATGCAAGAGTATGTGTCTGTGAAGTTTCAATCAATTCCCTTCAGTAGTCTTGCACAAAAACTATACCATGTGAGTGATTGACGCAGATGCCTGGGTGAGTACAATAGATCTCCCTATTCTTCCAGTAGTAGAACTAAGAATGTATGCCTCACCAACTAAGTATCCTACAAGATATAGGCTACAACTCTCAGGAAGCACTGGTGACAACAACCTTTTACTTTGACCTCTTGTCAGAACGACTCAAGATCTAGCGAAGGTCAAGGTCATTTTATTATTCCACAGTCGTAACACTAAAGAGCTAAAAAGCAAAACAGCTGACTTCATGTGGTATTGGAAAACCCAGTTTGACATGTTGCACATTCTTTTTAGAATACACCACTGAACAAGATTTAAGACATTTATAAGTTTTTCATCACAACATTTCAATGATGAATATTTAATCAATTCACACTACTCCAACAAAAAGGAATACTCTATCTCTTATTTCAGTCAAGAATTCATGAAAATTAACATGTTGGGCTAGTGACCAAGCAAATTCCCTTTAAAATTTGCTAGCCAAAAAGAGAAAAAATTAATATTTGGTGTCAGGCGTCTGTTGATTTACAGGGATCATTCTGGTCAGGATTTTTAGTGAGAGATTTTCTCTCATTTGAGAAATTTTAATGAGAGAAATTAGATTTTCTTGAGAGATTTAATTTTCATGATGGGTGAGGTTAAAAATATGGAAATTTCTAACTTTTTAAAATCACTGTACATATAAACATTGTTTATCTAATGAGGATATAAGAAGATGTAGCTCTGTTTATTTCAGTGATTTTTGTTTTCACTTTTTTAACACATCCTATGTCTTTTCTTTTATGAATTTTTAAACATAATAAAATTCTAATTGTGAAAAATAAATATAACATCTTTATTCTGAAATATAAAAGAATTATACATGGATATCTACTACAACTATTATTTGCAGCCAATGTTCCTAATGGACAACAATGTACTGTACAGAAGTGATTGTTGAGATTTGAAGAATATTTTTTATAACCTTACATTTTGTTTTCTATATGATTCTCTTCACACACCTCCCTCCATTAAAAAATATTCATTGAATATGTGACCTGAACAGTGAACACATGATGACAAATATCTCCATATCCACAAATATAAACAATACCTAAAGTAATTTTTATTCATAAACATCATTTTTAGTGTTATAAAACACCTTTAAATAATACTTAGCTTCATTTAAGTATATTTTTTTTAATCACGGCATCGCGAAAATATGTGACAAATGAATATTTGTCTGTTTTTCGCTGAAACATTCACAATTCTAACTGTTGCTGATTGCAATTATATAAAGTTAAATATTTTTGTTCAATAAAAGAATATTTATTATCGGCTATTTCATCAGGAGTCTTAAAACAAAATTTTTAAATTTGTTCTTTACGGCAAAATTTACCGTGGTTGATGTGACATTAGAAGACAAATTTTACCGGTAGGACCTTATTTGTTTTTGACATGTCGATTTTTATGTTAGTCTGTGTCTAACAACTTTTATTAAAATCAATTAAAAGTGTTTTGTGTAAATTCTCCACTTACAGATAGATAAAGGTTAGCCATCATACTGTATTTCTGTACGGTGAATTTACTGTCTCCGATCGGCAATTATTTTAGGCTAATTAATTTAAAGTGTTGGACTACTTTTTGGAGTTTTTTACACCGATTTCATTAATTAACAATTTAAAATTAAATTCTTGATGGGAATCGTGAATTTTTCATCATATTTTTGTGTAATTTTAGCATTCTTTAGATTGTGATTAGACATTTTCCGGCTCAAATTGCCGTGCGAGATTTTCTCTCATTTCACAAATTTCCCTGAGATTTTGGTGATTTTTTTGCGAGAAATTGCCCCCTAGAATGATCCCTGATTTAAAGTTTTCAACCACTGGTCAAGAGTGATCAAATTTGAAATGTGTGCCTCACCAACTAAGTATCCTACAAGATATAGGCTACAACTCTCTGGAAGCACTGGTGACAACAACCTTTTACTTTGACCTCTTGTCAGAACGACTCAAGATCTAGAAAAGGTCAAGGTCATTTTATTATTCCACAGTCGTAACACTAAAGAGCTATTATAAAGCAAAACAGCTGACTTCATGTGGTACTGGAAAACCCAGTTTGTCATGTTGCACTCTCATTTTGAAAATCTTAGAAGCAATTACAAAATGGATCACAGAAAACAAGCTTTTAAATCAACTTACACAATACATTTTATAATAACACTGAACAAGATTACAAGGAGTAACATTCCTTTTTAATCATCAAATTACGACATTTACACGTTTTTCTTCACAACATCTCATAGATGAATATGGAATCAAGTCAATACTCCCAAGAAAGTCAACACTTGCCTTATTTCAGTCAAAAATTCATGAAAATTAGAATTAAATTTAACAAACAAGTTGAGACTAGTACCCTAGCAATTTTCTCCTATTTTCGCTAGCCCAAAAGAGTTAAAAAAAATAACTTGTATTTGGTGTCTGGGCTACTGTTGATTACAACCACTGATGAAGATAATGTTTAAAACTCAAATGTATGCCTCACCAACTAAGTATCCTACAAGATATAGGCTACAACTCTCTGGAAGCACTAGTGACAACGACCTTTTACTTCGACCTCTTGTCAGTACGACTAAAGATCTAGTGAAGGTCAAGGTCATTTTATTATTCCACAGTCGTAACACTAAAGAGCTATGAAGCAAAACAGCTGACTTCATGTGGTTTAGTTACAGATATTATTTCCAGTGATTCACCACACCTTTATAACTGATGTTCACTAAATCTTATCATATAATTAATAACATAAAACTTACTTAAACTTGGAACTTTCAAAGCTTACATTTACTTGAAACCATATGTTGGCACAAGAATATGTAAATGATTAGTTATTCCATCATCCTTTTTATCTTTTAACTTAAATATACTAAACAACTTACTTCCAATGCACCACCTGTTATTTTCTTCACACCAATCATGTTCAAGGGAAGTAACTCATCCAACATGAGAACAGCATCCACAACCATCTTCGAGAAGAATTCTTTCTGATGAGAAACCAGTTTAGAACTGAGCGAGGTAGCTGCACATTTCAACAACATTTGTCTCTGATCTCTGTAAATGTCCAATTTATTTCTTATAGAAAAAATATAAAGACGATATATCTTGATTAGCACACTTCACACAATACTTTCGAGTTCCTTCAAGCAAAATTAACAAGCCATTAACACAAAACAACAAAGTTTGACATTAATGTTTATACAGAATTAAATGGATTCCACACAAATTTAGGCATTTTCTAAAAACTGTTTGTTTGATTTTACCTGGCACAAACGCAGTACAGATCATATATGGACTTTCAAGCTTTACTGGTGGTGGAAGACCTCAGGTGCATAATTTCAGGCACAAGCAGGCACCAAAGTAGAACCCAGACTTTCTTTAAGCTAGCTGGATAGCTATTCCAACTTTGTTTATCTTTACAAATCCAGAACATTTGACCTAACCCCAAAAATTTTCAATAAATCATTTTCAATCTATTTATCATTCAATTTGATTTAATTGGAACAATTAATGCGGTTACAGATTGGTAAAATGGTATAATCTGTTATCATGCAGAGGGTTTTAACAACACACAAGCATAAATATACACAAGGTGAAGAGAATACCATACAGGATAATGTGTGCAGGTCACATTGAAACACAGTACTGTATGTATTTCTGCTGTGGGTATTGCACATCATATCTGTTAATATACCACACACAGTAGAACTGTTATAACACTGCAGTTAAACAGCTGACCAAAGGTGTGGATAGACTATTATTATCTTTTAATTTTCTTGTTCTCTAATATTCATTCAACTCTTACAACAACTTTACTCTTAACATGTTATAAAAAATATACTTTTTTTCTGAGTATCCATGACTTTATCCTCTCATATATACGCCCATTAGTGGACAACTTCATACTTCAATAATATTTCATTTGTCAATATGATCAAGGTAAATGTTGTTTCTTCTGTTAAGTAAATTAGCTTATTATGTGAAGCAAAGATCATGCTGTATGAAATCAAAATATTAAAGAACAAATAAGCAACCATTGTCATTTTAATTGGTAAACCTTGATAAATAAGGAACTTAGAATATAAGGTCCCGGTTCCATTACAAGGGCATGGCATACCTTAAGCAATGTTCGTGGGACCTGTTTAATTTACCATTGCTTTTGTATGCCATATTCATGTAAAATATGACAAGCCTAATCAATGGGTAAGATCAACTATACACTAGCAGCTACAAAACTTTCCAAATATAATCAGTATAATACCAGACAGACTAAAATGTCAACAGAAAACATTTTCTATTGAAATTATTAATCATAATTATTATACTTAAACTAGGAGTAACCTCAAAACACTACTCACTAGTTCTGGGCTGAAAAAGCTTTCTTTTACAATGTAACACCTTTAAACACAACAATAATGACACAAAACCTGCATGGCCACTTACTCTGGGTTGCTTCTTTTAATTTGTACAGCAAGTTCTTTAACCTTCTCAACAGCCTAGAATAAACATAAGCACAGTAAGTAAATACTAATTTCTCTCAATTTATATCAGTTTCTTGCCCTAGAGCATACAAATAACCAATCTTGTAAAGCAAGATAGGACACAATATGGCATTTAAAAAGAAAACATGACCCATTTATTATAAATATGTTCCATGCTCAAAATGTTGATCACATTACAAAGTTGTAAAATGTTTAATTGAACATGGTTTTCTATACCACCCTAGATCGACCATCATAAAAATGTAATAAGACAGCCAAAAGGAGTGGGTATCATTAAGAAACTTAACACAGGTCTAAAGCAAACAAACTCTTTCCAATTTATCAATGACAAGATGCAAGCACCCCACCATCCCAAGTTTAAGTTCTTGTAATTCTTTGCCTCATTTATACAGATGAAATGCACATGATCATTTTTATATATAAAGACCGTTTTCTGGTTCATCAGTAAGAAAATTTAAACAAGAGAGGGCCATGATGGCCCTGAGGTCGCTCACCTGTATATAGGCCCCCCCCACCCCCAGGCCAATTTTTACCCAAGGGCTTTTATTTGTTTATTTGAACAGACTTGGTAGACACCCATAAGAAGATGTTTCATGCTAAACATCTAAGTTCTAGCTCATTGGGTTTTTTAAAAGAAGATTTTTTAAAGTGTTTACTATACACACATAGTTAAAAACAATGACACCCCTGGGGCAGGGCCAGTTTTGACCCCAGGGCTTTTATTTGAACAAACTTTGTTGATATTTACTTAAAGATGTTTCATGCTTAATATCTAAACTCTAGCTATTTGGGTTTTTTCATAGATTTTTAAGTTTTTGCTATACACATATAAGGAAAATCAATGACCCCCCGGGCGTGGCCAGTTTTGACCCCAGGGCTTTTATTTGAACACACTTGGTAGACACTCATTAGAAGATGTTTCATGCTAAATACCTTAGCTCTAGCTCTTTGGGTTCTTTAAAAGAAGATTTTTTAAGTTTTTACTATATGCATATAGGGAAAATCTATGACCCCCTGGGGCGTGGGTCAATTTAGACCCCAGGGCTTTTATTTGAACAAACTTGGTAGACATTCACTAGAAGACGTTTCATGCCAAATATCTAAGCTCTAGCTCTTATGGTTCTTTAAAAGAAGATTTTTTAAGTTTTTACTATATGCATATAGGGAAAATCAATGACCCCCCGGGGCGGGGCCAATTTTGACCCCAGGGCTTTAATTTGAACAAACTTGGTAGACACTCACTAGAAGATGTTTCATGCTTAATATCTTAGCTCTAGCTCTTTGGGTTCTTTAAAAGAAGATTTTTTAAGTTTTTACTATATGCATATAGAGAAAATCAATGACCCCATGGGGCGGGGCCAATTTTGACCCTAGGGCTTTAATTTGAACAAACTTGGTAGACATTCACTAGAAGATGTTTCATGCCAAATATCTAAGCTCTAGCTCTTACGGTTCTTTAAAAGAAGATTTTTTAAGTTTTTACTATATGCATATAGGGAAAATCAATGACCCCCCTGGGGCTGGGCCAATTTGACCCCAGGGCTTTTATTTGAACAAACTTGATAGACACTCACTAGAAGATGTTTCATGCCAAATATCTAAGCTCTAGCTCTTAGGGTTGTTTAAAAGAAGATATTTAAAGATTTTTCTTTCGGTTGCCATGGCAACCAGACTTCTGCATGGAATTAAATTCTTTGAACAATTTTTAAAGGTGACCACCAAAGGAACATTCCTGTGAAGTTTGGATGAAATTGGCTCAGTGGTTTATGAGGAGATGTCATTTAAAGCAAAAGTTTACGGACGGACGGACGTCGGACGAAAAGCGATCACAAAAGCTCACCCTGTCACTGTGACAGGTGAGCTAAAAATACACACAAAAAACCCAGATCTTTCAGTAACACAATTTTACAAAATTAAGACAAATATTGCCTATCACAACAATGTTTATTCTTACTAGAAATAAGCACAGCTTATTGATATAATGCATATATTTACGAGGGAGAAATACAAGAGCTGTCACAGGAGACAGCGAAGCTCGACTAATGAAATACTGGACGCAGTAAGGAGGACAAAACTATGAAAGGAAAATCAATTATGTATAATTATGTATTAAGTTATAGTAAAAAAATAATATTTGTTAACATAAATTCAAAGATCAAGGGGAGTAATTCTAGAAATAGTCATGCTAGAGTTATGGACCTTGTCACACAACATTTGTGTAATGATAAGAAATATATATTTGAAGTTTGAAGTAGATACCTTAAAAAATAAAGAAGTTATTGTATTTCTTAAAGAAAATCCTAAGTTCAAAGAGAGATAAATCTGTAAATATTGCTTCAAGAGTTATGAACATTGTCACATAAAATGTAATTGATGATAAGGAATAAGTATTTGAAGTTTGAGGTAGATACCTTTAAAAATAAAAAAGTTATAATAAAAAATAAAATTTTTCTAGTAAAAAAATCTAAGTTTATGGGGAGATAATTCTTGCAATATTGGTGCTAGAGTTATGAACCTTGTCACATAAGATGTGGATGAGGATAACGTAAATATATTTGAAGTATGAAGTTGATCCCTTTAGAAATATAAAAGTAACAGTAAAAAATAATATTTTTTATGGAAAATTCTAAGTTCAAAGGGAGATAAATCTGAAAATATTGGTGCTAGAGTTATGAACCTTGTCACATAAGATGAAGATGATGATAATGTAAAATAATTTGAAGTATGAGGTTGATCCCTTAAGAAATAAAGAAGAAACAGTAAGAAATAGTACTTTTTGAGGAAAATTCTAAGTTCAAGGGGAGATAAATCTGACAATATTTGTGCTAGAGTTATTACCCTTGTCACATAAGATTGGGATGATGATAAGGTACATATATTTGAAGTATGAGGTTGATCCCTTAAGAAATAAAGAAGTAACAGTAAAAAATAGTATTTTTTAAGGAAAATTCTAAGTTCAAGGGGAGATAAATCTGAAAATATTGGTGCTAGAGTAATGAACCTTGTCACATAAGATGTGGTTGATGATAAGGAACATATATTTGAAGTTTGAAGTTGATACCTTAAGAAATGACAAAGTTATAGTGAAAAATATTTTACTGCACCAAAACTTTAATCTAAAATCTGGACCCGGACGCCGACGCCGGGGCGAGTAGGACAGCTCTCCATATACTTCGTATAGTCGAGCTAAAAATGCTATTAATAATAACAACTTGTGAACTATTCACTACAGTAAATATCTTACACTTCCAATGTAAAATAAAGAACTAACAAAACACAAGTCCTGAATTTTGTGTCATTATTCTACAATGTTCATCAATTGAGGAAATATATGTCCCATATCTGAACTATGATGAAGCAAATACGCCAAAATCATTGTCAGATTTGGTGATCATGTACCACCCTAGATCGACTATCATATAAACATAACATAGACAGCCAAAAGGAGTGGATCTAGATTCAATTTATTCACAATTACACATAAAATGCATCAAACAGTGATAATTAAGTCACTGTGTTTAATGATTATTGTCGTGTGACTTACTAGTGCAGCTGCTCTTCTGAATGCCTTGATGACAACTTGTGGATGCACTGCCTCTTCTATATAAGGCTTGGACTGCTTAAGGAATTCTCCAGCTAATAATACAACAGAAGTTGTACCATCTCCAACCTTCAAACAATAAAATTATATATTACTTAATCACTATTTCACATAACTTTACAACAAAAACTAAATGCTAAAGGTCAGACAGCCCACATATTCATTACTGACTTGGAGTGAAGTGAAATATTGTTTCAATGTCCTTATCATTATTGTTTTTAATTACTTTATTAAGTTATTATGGTAACATGTAATTTTTAACTTTAATGAAACTGTAATGAAATCAATTTTTTATACCTAATCTTTCCTTGAAACAGTTTAAATGTATGTACTAGAACTTTTGCATGAAAATCAAAACAAAGCACTTGGCTTAGCCTCAGTACAAGATTTATTCTCCTTACCTCAGCATCTTGTGATTTTGCAATATCAACTAAAGTTTTAGCTGCTGGGTGAACAATATCCAGGGTTTTCAAAATGGTGGCCCCATCATTAGAAATTGTTGCTTTACCTACAAATATATATCCAATTAAATTTGTGTTGTAAATTTCTGCTTTAAAAATGTTATAAATAGACATTACATAAATTTTTTACTTTAAATATCATATCTATAGATAGCAATTGAGTTACGCATGAAATCAGACAGTGAAAGACAGTTGTGTAATTTTTCCATAAACAACCACAACTCAAATAATTTTATTGGCATAAAACAAATAAGTTTATTGTTTAACTTTTAGTTAAACACTTAACCTACTGTAACAGAGCCCATTTATATTTTTAATTTATTTTCGTATGTTGGGAGATCTTTCATGCTTCCATCTATTTCATACATCACTGTTATTATTATTGTAGTCCTACAGAAAAATTTATCATTCAGGGCCAAAACACCATTTTTGGGGAAGGGGCCTCAGCCTTTTTCTTGGGGAAAATATGCATGATTTTGGCATACTTTGGGAAAAGGGGTCTCAAATTCAACACAAAATTTTAATAAGTTCTTCAAAAGAGAAAAGCAAAAAGCACTTGAAAATACTAATAAGGCAGTAAAATACCTTAATTCAACACCATCATTTAATTTTGTTCTAAATTCTATGGGAAATTTCAAAAGGCGGGAATTTAGAGGACCAAACTGGGGAAAAAAGAGGCTAGTTTGGTTGGGGAAGCAGCCTATATTCGGCCTCAACAAAGAAGGGTTTTTTTGCCCCAGAGTAATTCACCTTTATCATCAACCATAAGCTTGTCCATGCCCCTTGGGCCAAGAGTGGTTCTGACAGCATCTGCTATTGCACCACAAGCATTTATATTGCTAACTATCTGTGGGACTCCCTGAGAAGAGTCTGTCCCTTCCTTCAACAAGATAATCTGTGGTTGCTGAAATAGAAATAAGATGTGGCATTTTAGTAATTAGTGAGAACATTGAACTATGCAGTTCAGAGGTGGTAAACATTTTACCACTTGACTCAATGTTCAAAATCTTTCTATCATCCACTAAATTGACTAATGTTAAACTCCTTGCGGAGAAATTCTTGCCTCATTCAACTAAGGATCTAAACAGCAAACACTGTCAAGACAAAATTAGCAGATGCTGAATAAAATGTTAATCAAAAGCCTCGGATAATTTATTCCCATAAGATAATTATGACATTTTTCCGTAGAAACTGCCACTGGGACCAACACTTCATCTATCAAAACAAAATCTCTAAAATCTGACATTTTAATACTGTTACAGATAACGCCATTAGCACAGGTCTAGGATTTCATGATATTTACGGACTGTCCGTAAATTCATAGATGGTCTAGAATTTAAAAGATTTTTTAATCCATAAATTTACAGATATTCAATGTGAAATTTGCTGTTTTTAGTTTTTAACTAAAATCCGCAGCTTAAGACAAATTGTTTTATTGATTGTTTATATTTACAAAGGTAATGAGAATTCAGCCTTCAATAAAACTATTTTCAAAAACTGCATTTTTTCATATTCTTAAACTGAAAAAATACCATATCTGTAATGCTGAATTTAGAATGTTCCAGTATTTTCTACAAGTTCACACATGAAAAGTTTTCATGTAAAATTTTAATTCACAGAACAATCAGAACTTAAAAATTAAGATGAATTTGTCAGGAATATAGCATAAATACATATTTGCATCTAAATGTAACAACATAAAATACAAAAGAACACTTGATTAAACGCGATTTTTAAAGGTAGTGAATCCAAACAAACCATCATTCTGAAAGCTTCTATTCTCTACTTTGAAGAGTTCCTGCCAAGGGAGGTAATCGAGTTTTCAAAAATAATAACCCGTAAGTAGCCGTCCTCAATCCGGTTATATTTCGTTCCTAACTTTTATTCTTGTGTTTATTTGTTTTCTCGTAATGACTGCATAATGCTTGTAATGTCTCATATCTTATTTCTCATTGTTGTTTTTTATATAAAATGATTTTATTGCATTGTATCACGGATTTATGTAATATAAATCCGTGATTGTATCATGACTGTACTTTAGACTGCGATTACATTACATTAAACAGAGATTCAGGGGAGGGCCCCCGATTACGTTGTTATAACTTTTGGCCCAACCCTTTTGTATGTTTACATTTTGTATTTATGTATAATTATGAAAATTTATATATATATTTATATTGATTTTAGATTAGTTGGAATGAAATCCTTATTCACAGTGTTAATGATACTTATAGTACGCGTTATGCAGGACAATAACTCATTAACACCGAAATATTTTCATATACTCTGTGTAACAATGTGATAAACCTACTTATATATAACAAATCATTTGCGTCGGATGCAAAACTGAACGGGGGGAGAGAGAGAGAAAACAATTAATTTGTGAAACTCAAACTCGTGACACTTTTTTTATTTTCTCGCAATTTCAAAGATTCTACCAAGTTCATCATCCAGACATATATATCATTCACTTGCAAACCTGGGACAAAAATAAACTAATGTTTTTGTCCCAGTGCAAACTTACTTTTATATTTGATTTTTAAGTTCAATAGGTGGCTGTAAACTTATCTGCCAGTACACAAAAAATAAAACGTCGCTGTCACATTATCATATACCAGCAATTAGTTAACGGTTAACATCTACAGTAAGCAGATTGTCTTTCTTCCCTCTAAAGAAAGAAGTGCAAGGCGGTGGGCAAGATATTCTGGTGTCATCCCAGTACGGGACAGTCGAAATTAACTCTTTAAGACTTTGAAGATGGTCATTTCAAGTTTGGTTATAATTTAAGTATGGTACGTTTTGTTCATGAATTATCATTTTTGATTACTTTAAAAGTTGTTTTGTGAATTTCTTAAGGATTTTATCGGTGACAGGAAGGGTTTTATGGAGTACTGTGCGCCATTAGACACACCAGTTTTTACTTGAACACTTTTACAGTGATTACACAATACAAAAAGAACAAGAGCTATTAATGCTTTTTTTCCATTCATTGTATTGTCGTTTAATATTCCTGTACCGGATATAGGATGTCCAGCATTACATGTAAATCTTAGATGTGAAGTCGCTAGGCGATTGGTCTTGATAGTATGGTGGCCAGTTGCGGCCATTTCAAACCCGCGAGAAATTTTATCGTTTTATCATAAAATGTCGCGGGCAATTGACAAATCCGCGAGATTTTCCGCCCAAATCGTACAAAAATGTTGCGGGGAACATATAAACCTCGATATTGTATAACAGTTGTTGGAAACAGCAAGGAAAATTTTGACTTCAGTGGCCAGTAGAGTTCATGGTTTTACTCTACTATTCATTCCTCGTTTGTCTATAAAAAGTCGAGGAACAGAAAGAACCCCGCGACATTTTTTGCAAGTGTTATAGAAATTGTACAAAAAATCAAGGGCAAAATAATAGACTGCGACTTTTTGTTCCTGAAAATACCTGGGTTGTAATACGCGATCTGAATGGAGGAGCCAAATTGAACGTCCAATCAGATCGCGTATATGACACAGGTATCAGAATCCAAAATGGCTACTACAAGTAAAAAAATACCGTGAAACAGAAAAAAATCGGAAAGATACTGATATTCGTTGGACTTGAATTAGGTAAGCTATGGAATTCTAGTTCTTTTTATTGATGTTAATGAATGATGCAGCGGTATGCCGCCGGAAACGACGTTTTCCCGTGTTCCACATTGTTTGGCAAATGAGTATATATTAGGCTTTTCACCTGTCTATAACTATAATTTTGATAGTGGATTCTTTTTTATAATTGTATCGGTGGTTTTGTTTTTGGTACCTTATAGTAAGCCTTAGAGTGTTGAATTATTTTTTTCTGGGTTGTAGTAGGGGTCCAGGTGCTGATAGGAGTGGGGTGTCCAAACACTGATACTGCCACCTGTGCCCTATATGTGCTTGCATCATTTTGATCACCCCTTTTAAAGATAGGAGAAATAATACCTTCGCCCCATATATGTGCTCCAGATGAGAAAATGAAGTTATATAATCTTTAAAGCAGAGGTGGTATAGTTTCAAAAGATTTTTAGCAATTTCTGCTGTTATATTATCATTGCCTGGGCTTTTATTGTTATGCCGTAAAAATACTTGCTCAGAAAAAAATCATTTCTAGACCTATATATATATTTCCGTAGACGGTATATCCGAATAAACATTTGCGTTATAGTCGCTCGGTACATCACCAAGGATTTAAAATGCTGTAGTAAATCATTTGAAGACAACGAATCTGGTTTGCTTCCAGTATTCTCCAAAGACTGTTTAATATTTTTCCAGAACATACATGGGCTTGATTTAGCCAAATTATTTATTCGTTTCCCCTCCTCTTTCCTATATTTCCTTTTCGCATTTCTCTTCATTTTATTAAAGTATGTTCGGGCGGCTATTTAAACCTCCAGTAACATACAATTTACCAAGATCAATAAATTAAACAATGTCTAACTCAAAGTTTGAAAGCAATTAGAATCACGAGTTCGTACAACATTTGAATTAAATGGTGGTATATACATATGAAAAAAACATCTTGATTGATTAAAAATAATTGTCTACTTTTACAACCAACTGACTTATTGCCTTGGATTTGAACACATGTATAATTTTCAATGTCAAATGTCAAGAGTTCAGTCTTTGAAATCCACGTTTCATTGAAAAATATTAAATCATAATTAAGTATAATTATAAAAAAAATCAGGATCGCCAATGTTCCTTTTCAATCCGCGAGTGTTCCAAGATATCACTTTAAGGGGTAGCTCTTCCCGACATCCCTATTAATCCATATCCGTTAAGGCAGGTTTGAATTCACTTTTGTTAATAAAGAGTGTTTTTTTTCCTATAAAATTTACGGTTTTCCCATCCTTCTTGGCGTTTTCCATTATGGGGTGCAGTTGTTTCCTTGCTTCCCGTACAGATTGTGGCAATTGTATTCCGATACCGCGCTCAGCCTTTTTAAGGTCCCCGGCTAGATCAAAAGACGCGGCTCGCACCCTATCACGCTGTTCCAGGTATCGAAATTTAGCTAGTATTGGGCGCACTTTAGATCCAATTCGCTTACCAATGCGATGAACTTTTTCAAAAACGAAAACGTTTCTGCATCTTCAATTCCCAATGTGTCCTTACACAGCGATTTAACAAAATTTTGACAATTTCCCATATTTCCGCCCTCTGGTATACCATAGAATAACAAGTTATTTTGTAGTGATTGCATTTCCAAGGAGATTATCTGGTCTTCCGTTGCCTGTTTTTGATCACACAACTTTTTTTTGACTGTTTTTCATGAAATTGAAAATTGTTTATCCAGGATTTGATGTCGTCTTTTGCATATTTAATTTCTCCCTTGCTTCATCCATGTCTTTAGCAACAAAATTACAAAAGTCCTCGGTTTCTTTGGTTCGCGCCTCAATATTGTTTATCTTACCCTCAATATATGTGATTTTAAAATTCATCATGTTTACAGTTTTTTTCCACTTTTTCGAACGAGGCAATTTTTTGTTTCAGTATTTTCATGTCCTCAAGTAACTCTATTGCCAATGAGGTGGTTGTGGAGATAAAAAAACATATGCTGACGTCGGCGGCGGACTTGACACGCCGGCCATAAATGGCGACATACTATACGGAAACTGTGGCGTAGCCATATTTGAATACGTGTAATTCAAACCAGTGAAATTTGAATCACTCAGTTTCGATAAAACCGTTAGGTCCGATTCACCACTTTTAAAACCGTGTTTAGTTGTCTTTGATTGTACAATTTTAGTTTTATTTTCGGTTGAAAAGTCCGTGCCTATTGACCATGTGCTTTGGCTTTCGTCTAACAATGGCGAAGTAGCTTCACGTTTATTTTTCGTCTTTTTCTGCTTCTCCAAAGATTTGACTAAATTTCTATCCTGATTTGACATTAGTTAAATAATTATTTTAATCCAGTTTCTCTAATATATTGACAATAAAACTCAAATAAACAAATGTTTTTTAGTATTTGTGTAGAGAGGTGAAAAACACGTGCTCTCTGTGCACGATCACGTGACCTTTTCTAATATGATTATATTGCTTTGGTTGACATTAGCTAGCCTATCTACACATTTCATACAAAAACAGTATAGGGTTAACGTACGTTTTGTTATAGCGTCTGCAGTGTTCCGAGGATGGCGATAAGAATATGACGATATAAGAATATGACGACATGACGATCGAATGGATGACGATGTAAGAAAGATGTGCAAAAGATGATTAAGAAATATACATGTACTCAGAAATAAACTGAAATCGTATTTTTGTGCTATTCAAAGCCCATTTTCAATCTTTGGTCATTTTTCCAATTTAGAATAATAGGTGTGAGCGGATTATGTGAAATTTTGCACATACTAGTAAGTCTTTGGTCTACAGTAGACCTTCATTAAACAGAACATTAATCTCGATAATTTATGTCCGGTCATGTCATGTCAAAAAACATTAGTGGAGTTTAAAACTTCCCTTTAAACCACTGCAATTTTTAAATTTTCTGTCGCGTTTTTTAACTAATAAAAACTTACAGTTAACTTTATCATTTGACTTGTTTAAGTGGAATCAGCGTGAACACAGGATTAAATGAGAGAAATGTGCTATATTGATATGAATCTTCCACAACCCTCTCCCCACTCCCTTCCTTATTCATCCGATATTGTGTAACAATTTAATGAAATTCATTTCGTCATTTTCATATTTTTTACTGGAACACTTTTTCAGGTTTGGAACTTTTATGTTTACCCGTTATATTCTGTATTCACTATTGCACCTTTTAAATGTTTTTTGATACTGTCTTTGTCAAGTAAGGTACAAAAGAGATATAATTTCTATATATCTATATCTTTATAATGTAAAATGTTATAATTTTACA